TTTCTTTTCTTTCTTTCTTTCTTTTGATTGTTCTTTATTTTTGTTTATTTTTTCTTTTCTTTTTCTTTCTTTTTTGTCCTTCTTTACTTATTATTTCTTTGTACCTTTCTCTTGATTAACTTTTCTTTTTTCTTTTCTTACGCTTACTTTTTCTTTCTTCCTTTTTTTATATCATTATATCTTCTGATTCTCTCAACCCAAGCGACATATATAATCAATAGAACAATATGTAATCATGTGACATCTTATATTTTATTTACAACCACAACTGATGAACTGTCATTACTTGTAATCGAAGTTCATAAAATGACAACCCCCAAAAATCGTTATAATGAAATGTTTTCGAATCTATCAGTTTGTTTCTTGGTTTTCACATCGTTCCTCGTTAGTCCTTCTATTAAAGTAACGATAACATTCGGTCAGGAATATTATTACAATTTGAATCAATGACCTTGACATTCACGCTGCTCAACTTTCGTTCGATGCCGATGGCTTTTCATAATAGTAATTTGACAACACACGAAAGTAGCGACTTTCATTAAATTCAAAATACCACACCCCATTTCGTCAGTCCGATATTGAAAGTGACAAAAAGGAAAAAAAGATTGATTGGTCTCTGGCATCGATTAACTTTAAGAAGCAAAGCGTCAATCATTATACTTTTAGTTTGGATACGCCTTTTGCCACCAGACCACTGTCATTCTTTTTCTTCTTACTATATATATATATATATGGCCAAGTGGTTAAAAAGGTTCGTTTTCTGACCATTAGACACGGGTTCGAATCTAACTGTGGTCGCTTTGTCACTAAGGTGAATTCTTGCTGTTATCATCCTGAGGAAACGATCCCAGTGTGCGAAACGCGTACCTGCAAATCACAAACCACGAACTGACCAAAGCCTTGTGAGTGAAGTTGGATAGACAGTTGTTCGTTAAGGCTTGTACAAGTCATCGTGACCGAGGATTTAATAGTACTTACCCTCTTAAAACTGGTGATCACGCCAGATTATGTCCTATCTCCCAGAAACTAAACTAAGGTCGGTTTAACATAATTGCAATGTTGGCTATGTGGGTATTGAAAAACACAAATGAGCCTCAGCAGGTGTCTATAAGAGGCCTAGCAGACAGGCATACTGGGAAACGAGCGACCAACCATTATCTCTCTCTCTCTCTCTCTCTCTGTATATATATATATATATATATATATATATATATAGTTTCGTTTTAAATTTACCAAAAATCATTTCCAATTACTACTATAACCATCGTTTGAATTTATCCTTCTTTTCATCGCATTACTTTATCCTATTCCCACCTTTCCTCCCTCACCCCTTGGAAATGCTTTGCTTAAACCCTTGACCGTTGTTATCGATTTAAAATTTTCGGGTCGAGCCATCACTTTAACACCTCAACAATCCTTCACCAAACTGCTATCAACAAGCACTATTGTTTCACTCCGTCACCTTTTTGCCTCACCTATCTTTTTGTTATCCTTATACGTCTCCTATTAAAATGTACTTTTTTTTCAAACAAATAGAAAAAAGGAAATGATGTTCCACGTGCAGCCTGCTTACAAACAGAATTGTTCATAACCATTTTGGTTCTCACCAGTCGAGGTGCAACTAAATGCATCGAAACGAAATTTCATCTTTGTAGTGAGCAATTATTTTAATAAATAATGATTGCTCTACTATCGATATTGAGCCCTCTTTTAAATTCATTTTTGTGAATTTTAGAATTTATTTATATTTTCGTTCTCATTACATTCGGATATATATATATATATATATATATATATATATATATATATATATATATATATATATATAATCTTATAAATATAAGTAAGTATACTCGTCCGTAAAGACCTTAGGAGTTTTGGCTTGTAAATGAACAAATCAATACCCAAGTAAAAATAAGGAATAAAAAAAGAACTCTGGCGAAAACAATCGACTAGAATCCAAGCTCAGAGTCCACAGAAAAAAACCTCCGACACGAGTAAAGTAAAAATATCTAAGCAAAGTGCTCAATACACTAACTAGAGCAAATCTAACTAAGAACCTAAAGAGCCAGACAAACCTACCTAGGTTTCACCTACGCGTATATATATATATATATATATATATATATATATATATAAAGAAATATGTTGTAGTGGTTCCAACGAGAAAAAGTATGTATATTAAAAAGAAGAGGGTGCCGCAAAGGTTTTTGGTTGTAATGTGGATTTATTGAGAAAAAAATATTATACTTTGTTTTACATAATTTCACGACACGTGTTTCTGGTCTGGTCTCGCAACCGTCTTCAGGTGAAAGTGGAGATTTTTACATATTATTAAAAATAATTAATTTTTCTTCATGTTCGATGTGGAATATTCTCGATATGAGACATTCTGTTTGTGTGTTGGCAATCCGAATTTTCTTTCTAGAATTGTCAATGAAGAGTTCTGCGTGAAGGGTCATAAAACAATTAAGGTTTGTCCAGCGAGTAGTTATCGGCATTTAATCTTTTAATGTTTTAGTGACCTCTATGTGCTCTTGGATCTGTTTCTATTTTGGCGTGTTCCTGTCAGCATGCGTGTATATATGCGTGCGTATATTTCCTTACTACGAGGAATTCGTAAACTTATTTGTACTTATACACGCATACACACACATACGCACATACACACTATCCCACCACAAGTAGTCAGCACACACACACATATACACACATATTTCCCAAGCTACATGGAACCAGTACACACACATACACACACACACATTTGAAAAATTAAAAAAAAAAAAAAAAAAAAAAAGATTTTTTTTTTTTTTTAAATTCTTAGACTATTAAACGGAGTTGGAAATCAGTTTTTTTACTGAAAATTGTACTATCATGTATTAGTACTTATAACAGTGATCCTGATTACTAAACTATAATTTTATCTTCTACTTTTTCTTTAGTACACACTACTAAAGAGAGGGAAAAACATTTTATATAAGTGGTCATTAATATATCTGCAAAGTTCTCAATTTTTTAAAACATTATAAAGGAGAGGAAATTGTGGAGAGTCATGATCGCCAACATCCTGAAGGGGCATGGCACTTTGAAGAAGAAAACTGCCAATTATGATCTGATATTGAAGTTTAAAGTTCATCCCTACAATGATGGGGTCAACATGGTCATTACAGATAATGACTGTAGAAGTCATATAAAAAAAAAAAAAAAAAACATTTTTTTTTTTTTTATTCTTTAAATTTTTTTGTATGAATTAAAAAATAAGGCTGTCAAGTAAAATTAACCATTCCCTATCATCCTTCTTTTTTCTTTTTTTTTAAAAAAAAAAAAAAAAGCATTTACTTGTCATCTGATTATGATTATTCACTCCCACTCCCCTCTTCACTTGTATCTAAAAATCTAAAAGTTTGATGTTTCGAAACTGCAAAAATCAAAGCAGAAGAAAGACCGTTCCCCTTCCAAAAAATACAGGTTGGTAATAGGGTACTGTACAAAAATAATATTAATAGACTTAATTCTGTCTGATAGCCAATTATCTGGTACTGCTTGCCATTCTGAAAATGCTTTTGGCTACTGGATGTGATGAGGGTACAGGGAGTGTGTTTCGTATATATGATGCCACCTTCAACAGAATTCTCGAACATTCTGAAAGAAATGGTGGTTTGGTAAGATAGAAAATAACAAATTGGTGCAACAAAAAAATACAAATAAATAATAAACTACTTTTGGTGAAACACTTAAAAAAAAAAAAATAAAAAAAAAAATGACAGACAACAGAAAACTTTTTGTATCACAACACATTTTCAAATGTAACCAGGGTAAGTTTAATATCGTGCCGATATATCAAACAGACAATTACTCGTATCTACAAATACAGGAAAAAAACTTTATAGACAAATTCAAACCCGAACTGAATAGATCGTAACCCCCCCAAAAAAAAAAAAAAAAAACATGCACACAGGGTGACCAAATACAATGATCGCTCACATGCATGGACGCACACTTATATACGGAAGACACGAGGAGATATATATATATGTGTATGTACACATACATACATACATTTATGTATGTATATGCGGATGTTGACAACTTAAGAAGTACGTGTGTGTGTGCGTGTGTATGTATGCGTGTGTGTGTATTTGTGTGTACTGGTTCCATGTAGCTTGGGAAATATGTGTGTATATGTGTGTGTGTGACTGACTACTTGTGGTGGGATAGTGTGTATGTGCGTATGTGTGTATGCGTGTATAAGTACAAATAAGTTTACGAATTCCTCGTAGTAAAAATATACGCACGCATATATACACGCATGCTGACAGGAACACGCCAAAATAGAAACAGATCCAAGAGCACATAGAGGTCACTAAAACATTAAAAGATTAAATGCCGATAACTACTCGCTGGACAAACCTTAATTGTTTTATGACCCTTCACGCAGAACTCTTCATTGACAATTCTAGAAAGAAAATTCGGATTGCCAACACACAAACAGAATGTCTCATATCGAAAATATTCCACATCGAACATGAAGAAAAATTAATTATTTTAATAATATGTAAAAATCTCCACTTTCACCTGAAGACGGTTTGCGAGACCAGACCAGAAACACGTGTCGTGAAATTATGTAAAACAAAGTATAATATTTTTTTCTCAATAAATCCACATTACAACCAAAAACGTTTGCGGCACCCCTCTTCTTTTTAATATATATATATATATATATATATACGTATGAGTGTATATATACGTATGAGTTTGTCCATGCCTTCAATAAAAATGGAATATTTTCTTAAGTCCTAACAATAATTGCAATGTTTTCACAACTTTAAATTCGTTATTCCAATTATTTCTCTGTGCTGTTCTTTCATGGAGTCAGCTTTTTCGGTTCTCGGCCTCATAAGCATTTGGGAATAGAATGATATACTGTGTTCTTGTTGAGCCACAAACGTTGATATTAACCATTAAATTTCATATTTATAAAAACCATCCGAATAAATCAGCCGAAAAATTCTGTGATAAAAATTACGAACGACTTCAATTGTCTTAAAATCTCTTCTTGTTTCGATATTCTATCTTCCTGTCTGTCTTTCTCTCCCCATCTATCTGTTTATCTCTATGCCTCTCTCTCTCTCTCTCTCTCTCTCTCTCTCTCTCTCTATCTATCTATCAGTTTAGTTCTATCTATCTATCTATCTATCTATCTATCTATCTATCTATGTTTCTCTCTATATATATCTCTCTCTATCTGTTTATATCTATCTATCTGTCTCTCTATCTATCTATTTATTTATTTCTATGTTTCTCTCGCTCTATCTATCTATCTATCTATCTCTTCTTTTTATTTCACGTCCCAATTTCCATCGCCTCCGATATAAACGAATGTTTCCTCTTTTCGACTAAGATATCTGAGAGAAAAAATCAATCGGTCAAGCGCCACACACTTGGGCGATCATGTATCTTTCGATACATGACTGACAAGGCAGAAAATTTTTCCGCAGTAGGTTGCCATTTCTTTCTGTGGTAGAATAGTTACCAACCAAGGGTAAAGAAGCCAGTCTGTCCTGCTGGGGGAGAAAAGATGGATTCATGCCTTTCTCAAGGGTATTTGTGCGTAATTGGAACTCTTCGAGTTCTTATTCCGAGCCGATATCCATTACACCACCCACGCACCACCAGACAGTTGGAAATGATGTCGTCCTGAAGTGTAAATCAATTTGCTGGGAGAAGAATATTAAAAAAAAACATCGCAGATATTCAGGTGTTAACCCAATGAGCCTATTTGGATGACACAGTGTGTTCGAATGGGGATTGTGGCACATTCCTTCAACAATGAATCCCGAAAAATTGGATGTACTGAGTACTTGCCGCAGAAACAAACACCAATTATTTAAAAATCATTTGAGCTACAAAACTTATAGAGACTGAAACACTTGCCGCCAACACTAATAACACAAACAATCTCTCACTTCATATATGAATTAAAGTGGACGAAAAACTCAACATAGAAACATACTAGTCTTGGGTATGAGAATAAACTACAACCGGCAGCAATGCCTCTGATCAGGAGACTGGAGGTTTTTACATGCTGTTGTTCCCAGGTCCACCCTGACCCGGGTGGTAGCACCTGTTACGGTCCCATCTATGCGCAAATAGGAAACCTCCCTCCACTAAACAAAAACAACTTTAAAAATGTATACAAATATATTTTTTATAGTAAAATTACCAACAATATATTTTATAGTAAAATTAGCAAAAATAAATTTTATCTGTTGTTGAAAGCATACAATTGCATTCAAAATATATTTAGTTGAATCCATAAAATTATATTCAAAATATTTATATTTCGGGATTAAATAATCCCTAATTGGTTGATATGCCGTTAAACAGAATCAACAAACCAATCAACTATTGTGAAAATAATTCAGCCCAAATTATTCTATAAGCAATCGTATTACAGAACTTTGAATCAATAATATCGATCTTGGAAGAAAATATAAATAAACCACTATAATTTAGAACCACTGAAAATGTGAAAGGGACTTTAAACAGAACTCATTTTCTTATCAATTAACATTTGTTTCGTTAAATTTCAATGTTACCTGATTAATCTTTTTTTAATATTTAATTATGGTAATTGTTCAGATGATCCCTTCGCCATGGTACTGAGACTTTTTTAAATTTAAATTCAGTACTAGACTGGCGTCGAGATCTCATCAAATTACAGTCAAGTTGGCGAGATCTAAGCGTTAGTTCTATGCTAACAGTTCATTTTCTCGCACTTCTTGCTTGTAAAACTCTCTTTCAGCTCCATGTTCTCCAGCCTGCAAAAATTTAAATGAAATGGCAATCACTGTTTACTAATCTAAGAGTAATCAATCCTGATTACTCTTTCTTCTTCCCGATCATTATTAATGTTTCTGTTCCTAATTCTTCCACACCCTAACATCTTGTATCTTAGTGGCTTTACTTCTTTGCATGGAGCGATACTGATTAAAAAAAAATCCCATCATAAAAATGTCTATTTTAAATATGGAATCTTTCACACAGTTTGAAATGAAAAACTATTTATTCCATTGACTCTTCTGATTAATATCTCTGTCTTTGTTCTTTTAAAGACAACTTTTCAACCAGGATACGTTTTTTGGCTTTACTTATTTTATATTTTTAAAAAGTCGATTTTTAAAATATTTTCTGTTTTAATTTTTAATTAACGAATGTTTAATTATAAGCGACTAGATCTGCCTTCAAACTGATTGCGGACATTTCTTTGCAGAAAAGGAAGGATCAAATCGAATCTGAAAAGGATGAAAACATGAGAAATAATTACAAATCTTTTATGCTATTTTTTAAGACACCCTTGTCTCTATTACCCTCACTTCATTACAGTTTGCATCTCCCCCCACACACACTCTGAACCTCTCTTCGTCAGAAATTTCGTCATATCAATTCTAAATTCTGCCGCATTTTCTGATCATTCAATGCTCTGTTCATTCATTGCTATTGTTACTATTTCCATTTTAATCTTTGTCGAATTCCATGGCACGCCGATGATATTAAATCATTTGATTAGTCGAAATTCATTCAGGTTCTGTTAATCAAAATGTCACATATGAATATTGCTTCTGACCTTCATTTCAATTGACTTTCATTCAGTTAATAACAAATCCCATCATTAAACTGATATCGAAATAATAAAATTATTGATGGACCGTGTCCTCTTAGGACGTAAGCGATCATAGCTCTCCACAATTTCCTTTCTTTTGTTGTTCTCAATAAATTTTATCTTTCTGTTATTTCTCCTAAACTCTATTCCGTCATCCGTTTACTTAAGCTCACCAAATATTTCAGGCGCTCTTTTGTTTATTTTGTCCTCAATCTGTCCTGTGAGTATCAGATTCTCCAAGCCTTCCTTTCTCATTATGTGCCCTAAAAATCTCAACTGTCTCATCCTGATGTTAACTATGTTTCCTTTTTGTTTCCATTTTCTTTAAAAATTATGCTGTTGCTCACATCTTTGGCCCATGGTATTTTCAGCATCCTTCTGTAGAACCACATTCTGTTGCTTCAAGTCTCTTCTTCATCTTTGAGAAGATTGTCTAGCACTCACTGTTATACAAGAGGATAGATATCACGTAACAGTTCAGTATTCTTTTCCTTGTTTCTAGCAAAGTTTTTCAGTCTCTTAATACTCTGCTTAGTTTTTGGAAGGCATATTTTACTATCCCAATGCGTCTTTGGATGTCGCACTTTCCGTCTTCTGTTAGAACACTTCCCGGATACTTAATTTCTTGTATTTGTTTGATTTTGTTATCTATAATTTGTAATTTGTATTTTGGGCTCATCCTTTTGTTTACGGCCATGATATCTGTCTTCATGTAGTTTTATATTTAATCCTTTCTTCTCGCTTTCCTTCACTATTTTCTATAGTAACTTTTGTAGTTTTCTATCCGTACCAACACTATGCCATTTGCATATCTTATGTTGTTATGTTGGTCGCCAATAATGAATCCTGGTAAAGATATCTAATTCTCTCAGAATTGCCTTGATTTATAGGCTGAATGTCTGGTGGGAAGATGCACCCTTGTCTTACACCCCTTTCTAATTTTTTTATATCTACTGATTTCATTTTCTATCCGTGTGCAGACAGTTTGCTGCTAGTATAGGTTCTTAATTATTCTAATATCCTTCTCAAATATGTCAAGATTGTTGAGCAGTTCTAACAAATCTTTGTGGCGTAATTCCTCGAACGCCCTTGCATAGTCTTTAAAACAAACGTACACATCCTTCTACTGTTGTATTGCTCTTGCTGATAACATTCTGAGCATAAATATATCGCGTTAGAGGTTGCGGTGTCGTTGACAAACACACACTGTTCTTGTCTTGTCTCTGACCTTGTTCTGCTGCGCGCTATATTCATCAGAATTCGCATGATGAGTTTTGTTATGTGGCTCATTAGGCTGCTTTCTTCCGTGCAGTTCACATTCGTTTGCACCTGGTTTCTTAGGCAGTGATATGAAAATAAATCTATTTAGGTCTTCCGGTACACTACCTTTGTCGTAAATTTCATTTATTATTTCTTTTATCTTTTCTATGCCGAAATTGTCTAAGGCTGCAAGCATCTGTTTTAAAATTCCGTCTGGCCCTGTTGCTTTGTTTCTGTTCAATTTGGCAAGTGCAGCTTCCACTTCGATTTTTAATATTTCCGCTCCGTCGATAATTCTGTGTATTCTCAGTTGTTCTCATTCGTCTTGGAAGAGTTTTCCGATATATTCTTTTCTTCTCTGGAGCATTTTTCTTTCTCTAATATTTTTGTTCCGTCCTTGGATTTTATGCAGCCTGTTGATGAGCATGTCTTTTGTCCTGTTAGTTTTCTTATTTTATGGTTTTTATTTTTGTGCATGGAACTGTACCTTAGAAATCATAAAAATACGCAACTATTAAAGTTATTCGGTTGTTGGGAAGCATTTTCTTAATTTGCTATCAAATTAATATCGTAGTCGAACTTCTTCATCTAGAGCAGGGATTCTCAAACGCTGTGTGCCGTGCGATCATCTTAAGTGTGCTGCGAAATATTGTCACAGCATCCATATGTGTTTGTGTGTGTGTTTGTGTGTGTAGTAATTTAAATAAATGAATAAGTATCAAACTTTTTTCAAATAATTCTTTTCACTATTCTCCGTTTATGTTATTTTAAATACTTTACGGGAAAGCGGTAACAATTTATTTTTTAATTTCTTTAAAATATCACTTAATCACCAGTTACTTACCATCGCCTGAAGAAGTCCAAGCAACGTATTGAAACATGAAAGCTTTTGTGTAGCGATTTCAATATGTTTTTTATTATTCTCTTATAATAAAAATAATATATATATGTATGTGTGTGTGTGTGTATTTGTGTGTGTGCATGCGTGCCAGTGTGTATGTGTTGTAGGGGGTGAATACGTGAGGATGCCGAAAATTTCTTAACTAAGAAAGGATTCTTTATAAAAATTCTCATTTTTTGGTCATTTGGTCAGACTGAAAAGTGGGCCTGGGGAAGAACTTTTTACTACCCACACATATCTTGTTTTATTTAGAACACAATAACGTTTTTTTTCGATTTATATATTGCGTGAGGTTAAAGCTTGACTTCAATCCTACTTGTATTGAGTTTCTCTCTTCCTGTCAGAATCTTAACGTCATATAACGTGTGCGCATGACAGGAAAAGAAACCTCTTATATAACTTTCTAGTTCTTATCGCTCTAAGCGTTATATTTAGTGGGTACATCTGTTTGAGTAAACATCCATAACTTTGTAAGTTAGACCCAAAATGAATTATTTAAATTTATTATTATGACTTTAAAACTAGCAATTTAAAAGTATATGTTAGTATAT